CAAAAACGGTGTGAGCGCTACTAAACATTTCCCGTATTATTTATTCCTTGCGGATTCCTAAATATTTTTTGACCGTTATTTAACAATGCAAATTTTTAAGAACATTACAACGCTTACTACATCTTGTGAATCCCCTAATTGTTCATTTGCAAACACAAACATTACCGAATTACATAAAAAGCGATATTTATTCTTAGAAATTAACTATATGCGTATGCACTCACACGAATATATACTTATGTACTCATATATGCACATATGTATGTATGTATTCATATTATTTTTAAATGCATAACAACCCCGCAGAAAAAAATTTATCCATTGATAAAAAAACCCACTTGTAGTTAGCTTTTTTGCGGGATTTCAATAAATATATAACTTGTAGTTAGCTACAAAAAGCTAACTTTAAACTAGTGGACAAGTAATGAGGGAGATTGTTTTCTTTAAATGCGTTTCTATTCGAATATTCTGCACTTCACAAATACTTTTTCGAATTGAGGACAAATAAAAGGAAGATCGAAAATTCATATTATCATTTTGTGGTTATGTCTGACGGGAGTAAATAAAAATAAAAAAAAATAAAAAATATATAAAAAAATTTTTTGTTTTTCCTATTGATATTTTATGTCCAAAAGTAGTTAGTTACAAGTTAGTTACATCAAATGCAGAAGTAACCACCCTAGACTACATCTAATGCAGAGGTAAACCACCCTTGACTATTTCGCGGCCATCGCCATAGAAATATAGTTAGCTTTCGTCAAAGAAAATATACAGAAAATAAGTGACTTTTAGTTCCTTCCTAATCAACTAACTTAGCTTATAGTTAGATACATTTCCTGCAGGGTATGTATTTATATTATTTTTAAATGAATAACAAGCACTCGGCGCCGGTAAAAAAGCACGCATGTACGTGTACGAAAACGAGTATTTATATAAATAATTTCACATAGCATATCCATATGTATTTATTTTTAAGCTAAGTATAACAAAGAATACATATACATAAATGTATCAATATATATACATTATCAACTAAATAGTAAACAACAAACAAGTTAGATTAAGTCATTCTGAAGATTAGAATGACTTTTATAGCCGAATATGCACTTATATCGGGCCCCCATAGCTCGTGTTGCGCCCAACCGCAGCGTGGCACTGTAGGTGGCATTTTTTTTTATCTGTAGGTATGTTAGATGCAAACTTTTTGCTTAGCCTTCGATGTTTTTCCCTCGTAGTGTTCCTAAATCTAAAACCCTGGAAGCGTTCCTTCCGTCTATCACAACCTGATCGATTTGGTTTCACATTTTTCGATTTGGAGGCAGCCCTTTAGCTTGATGAATATTTTTATGCTAGTAATACCATGTTTCCGGCCCTGGCGAATTCTATAAGCCTCGGTCGTGGAGGCTGAATTTTCCGACAGTGGGGCCAAAAAATCGCCTGTGCCCGTAGGGGCGCAGCACAGTGGTCAATAAATGGAATTTAGTGTTCATAATTCACTGGAGCCTTCATTTTTCAACAAATTTGATTAATTCCTTCTTAAAAAAATGCATATCCAAAATTTTTATAAAATCCGAAAACAAAAAAAAGTACTTTCGGTGAAAATTTTTTATAACATTTCAAATAATTTTATTTTTTTCTCGTTTGGTAGAACCCTACAATTGTTTTCAATTAGTTTTTATTATGAATCGATCTTCTTCAAAATTGCCACTTTTTCTGCACTTTGCACTAAAAAATTTAAGGAATACTTAAAAATTTAAAGGATGCTTTATTTGGCTGATCGATTTCATAAAGCCACTTTAAAGTTTAAGGTGACCATAATGGCTCCTTAGTTAAATACCCAAAATGGAAATTTAAATAACATAAAGGTCCCTTTTGTAAGAAAAAATGGATGTCATTTTCCTAGCATAATTACATATTTTTATGACAATCGGCTGATGCAATTTTGCCGAGATCAGCATTGCCAATTTTCTTCTTTTCATTTAAACGAACCTTTTGTTATTATTCTATTGCCATTGTATTATGAAAACAATTCTTGTTTAAATTACATTTCAATTACACTTTAACTAGAAGGAGACTTTTATAAAAGGAACTTTAAGTGTTCATTATGAAATTGACCCTTAATTTAAACAAATAAAAAATCAAAATCAGTAATTCAAAAATGATTTCAAAAATTCGAAGAAATGTGCTTAGAGAAGAAGTATGGGTATCAAATTAAAGAGGAAATCCTTTAGAATTTAAACATATTCAAGTTTTTGGTGCAGAAGGACTGGTAAGTATTGAAAATGTCCTTTAAAATTTTATTACGCAATATTTGTTTTTGAAAAAATTATATGTTAAGGACTTATGTAAACTCGATAACATCCTCGAATTTCGTTCATCTAACTTTATTAGCTTAAAATTTTACCTTTTCGTCCTTGTGAATCCAAAAATTTTAATTTTTTTTTAATTCTTGCATTTGGCACCCATATTTTTATTCTACATTGCATTGAATTTTTTAAATAATTTGTGGAATTAATCATATCTTTGAAATAACAAAGTCCTTTAAAATAAATCCTGACGTCAGAGAGAATAAATTAAAACGCCAATTAAAACAAAAAAGTAAGTTTCAAACCCATTTATTTATTATTTATTCTATGGTAGAAGAGCTTCTCAAACAATATAAATAGAAGCAATTTTTTGATTTGAGTTGTTAAAAGGTAATGAATATCTAAATCCCGGGACTAATAACGACATCCCGAAAATTCCGGGATCGGAAAAAGCTGAAAAATTAACATGCCTATTCCCCTTTAAAGGTCTTGATATTCCAGGTGCATACCCTCAAATCAAAGTCCTTTATAAGTTTTCCGTGGTCGATATCATCCGACGCTTGGTTTTTCCTTTCATTGGGAAAAGTTTTTTTTTACTGTGATTTTCGCAACCAATTGGAAAAAATGTCTGCTTCAGGTTTTGCAGGCAGATAAATATGCATATGTAGTATATGATCTGCTGACACACATATGTATGTATACAGCACACAAGGGGCTCGGCAAATAAAAGGCCTGTATGTCTCATGCATACGTCAAACGAAATTTAAATAAGCAGAAATATATATAGAATATTTAATTTTTTAGGCAGCTTTAAATCGCCCGGTTCATATGATATCTATTCTATTATATTCATCGAAGGCATTGAACTGCTTTTGCCACCTTAAAAAATATCTTCACTGCGTCGCTTACATACTCTTGGATACCATAAGCATACGACTATACTAGTCCTAGAATAGCACAATGTCCTCCATTCTGAAGTCTCTGGAGAGATTGGTTGAATACGAAGGCTCTTTTATCACATCCTCTGCCTTTTCCGCAACATCCCGTTGCGTAAATCTTGTGAGATGGCCTGCAAAATCTGGTTGCAGAATTAGCGATACTATCACTAGAAAAGGATTCACCATGGGCAGGAAGGATGATGGCCATGAATAGAAATATTATCCCATGAATATTATAGAAGTTACAGGGCTGAGGAGGAGGAAGAAACAGTCGATGACTTTTCCCAAAGACCAGGATTTTTAGGAAGCCACTCTTTAGGCCTCTTACGGAATTATATCCATCTAGGAATAAAACCAATCCTAAGCAATAGGGCGAAACGACAATCGAAGGGACAATCTTCACTACTCCCTTGGAGAACATGTTCTAGCATTCTAAGCCGAGATATTTGCAACCCTCAAGGACAATGGACAACGTCTTGAAAATAGTGGAGAAATAGGAGTGGGACCTTTCAAAAATAGGTAAATATATCCCTCAGCAATGACCGCAAAGATCGATGGCGGCAGTTGGGCAAAACTGTGCTGTTGCTCTCAAACTAAGAAGGTATAACTAGGTACTTGTATCCATAGTACTGAGGAGACTGCAGACAACTGACGGGTCACATTTCGCGGCACAAACACCTGTCTGTGATTGGCATAAGTAAAGGCTCATGAAAACCCCATTTGTCCTTCCTGCCTTGCAGAATACATTCTTTGGTATGAGCCTTTTGTATAGTGAGACGAACACCTGAGTTCTTTAACACTCGGCAATCTGCTCCTAGTTTAGTTGCATAACAAATTGGTAGTATTCTAGTTCATAACTAGTAGATTTCACTGCTGGGTAAACCCGCTTAAATTAAAAAAGAAAGCTTTGAAAAGCTGAAACAACAAATGCATAAACACATGTATGTAAGTATGTATTTTATATTAGACCGTACCAGATTGCAAGCAAACAAAAAAAGTTCGCACGCGCCCCCCTGAGTCCGAAACATTTTTTCAAGGCAATTTCGAAAATTAAAGTTTTTTTTGTCAAACGTAGGGGTCGCATTTTTACATTTCTCGTTATATCTTCGGCATGTGCAGTCGGATCTGAAAGTGTGATTTTTTGTTTTGAGGAGGCAATATTTTTTTTTTTTTTTTGGTTTAAATTCATTCATCTCAAGTTTCCTGTTCTCAGTTCCAACCACTTTAACGTGTCACCATAATATCAGTTAATTAAAGTATTTCGATCCGAAGGCAGTTTCGATTTTTTTTTAAGTCGAAAGTGGGGACCCCTTTTTTGGTTAGGGTTCGGTATTTACAGTCGGATCTTAAAATCGGATCTTAAATTAAGCGCACTAAAAATCATTTAACTTTTGCCAAGGGGGTATTTTGATTATTCCAGTAGAATTATCAATACAAATTTTTTTTTCATCGCCGAAGCTAGGTGACACCGAAAAATTAAAAAAAACGACACCCTGGTTCGCCAATTTTTTTTTTTTTTTTTTTGAAGTAGCCTTGCAAAAATGCTCAAGGATCAGGGGTTTAAGCAAATTTTTTTTGTTTGCCGTAAGGTGGTACGTTCTAATGTACATACATATTTACTATATTCATAAGTATGTATCTGCAGGGAATACGAAGAGGTGTACAGAGCGCAATACACACCGTTGACAAATACGCAAAAGTCAACTTTTAGCGTTCCATATGAATTGGACTTTAGTTCGTCGGGAACATTGCTTGAGAGCAGTCGACTATTTGGAATAACTAACTAATCCTGACAAGTGTGCATAGTTTCTTCTTTCTTACTCAATTTATTTCAATCAGTATAATCAGCATGGCAAACGACAATTTAACAGCGGTATTGCACGGCATTGAAGATTTACGTTTGGTGAGTTAGAGTGGGCGTACATTGGTATCTACCCGTAACAAATTAGGATTTGGGAATCAAACAGTGAAGTAAAAGCAAAACTTAAATCACAAGTTAAGCAAGTGTAAAGCGTTTGAAAGAATTTTAATTGGAGTCAATAAATTTATCATTGTAAACAAAGGACAAGTGAAACAATTTAGGCGAAGTTTTCCTCAAAAGACTAGACGTGTATATTGATTTTCAACCTATAAGTAGTAAGGATAAAAACGCCCCCCTAGACGCTCATTCTGCATAAGGCACACACGTTTTGTATAAACAGCTGAAATTATATAAGCAAATCAAAACAAAAAAAATGTCAATAACAAATTCACCGCGAGTCTTTCCGCTATTTTACGCCATTCTCCAACTATACTTGTTGACTTAATTTCTTGCGCTGGTATTTTTATTTTTTATTTTTTGCTGCAGATTACACAAGGTTACAGATATGAAAAAAAGTCCGACCTGTGGCATTTGACCATCCTTTCTAAAGAAAAAATATTCGCCGAATGCGAATATGAAGTCAAAAAATAAAAAAAAATAGAACAGTTTTTGGGTTTTGAAAAATGCATTCAGATTTTTTTTTCAATGTAATGGGCCGAACGCAAATTTATTTTTATATAAGTGAAGTTTATTTAATTTAGTATCATCCACGTCAATAACATTTTCCAATCGAACAAGCCGTGCCGGAGCTATGTATGTTGCGTAATTTTTAATAAAATTAAAAAAAAAAATTTACTTGCTTTACAAAAAACAACATGAACAAGTTTGTTTAATTCAGGTTTCTTTCTGGGACGTTAAATTATGATCTTTTTAACATGCAATACAAACCTATCTTAATTGAATAACAAATATAAAAGTTATGACCACTTAAGTAAAAATGCACACAAAAATTTCCATACAAATTTTTGATTTCGCTTGACAGGTGGGACTTCTTGCCGCCTAGTGTTATGAATCAATATTTTTGACTACAAGTCTGCAAGTCGCTTATGTTTTCTATCAGGGGAAAATAGTCCACAAAAAGAATATTTTACGTAACAAAGCAAAAAAAGCGCGCGATATTTCAAGTTTCTTAAAATAGCCTAAAACGTGTACATAGTATATTTAAAAAGAAATTCCGTTCATCCAAAATTGTACAATTTCATAAGGAAACTAAAAGGAAAATTTGTTAGCCCTGCTAGTCAAAGTCTAATTTAGTGCTGGGAATATGCACATACCTACATACATAGACTATGTACGCACAAGTGTTTATTTTAGAAGTGGGCTCGTCTGCACTCTAGGCATATGTATGCAGACAAACACATGTAGATATTTAAATACAAACATGCATACATACAGTTCCGTTCAAATGGTTAGACGCGCCCTCATTTGCAATAAGAAAAATAAAATTAAAATAAGCAGAAAAAAAACACTTGACGTTTCACACATTTTGTTTACCGCTTGGCTTAGCTGTTCTCACACAAATGAGAGGATTAACAGCTTTATGCCGCCTACATATTTTTTATGAGAATATTTTCATTGAAAACAAAAAAAGCAACTCTCGCCGATGGGCGACCGTTATAACGCGTTATTACGCAAACTAGGTACCTTTTGGACTCAGACAAGAAATCGAACCTTTATTTTTTTAAATCCTTGATCACTTTGATGCAAATTTTTGGAAGAATTTCGGATTTAAGTGCTCCAGAGTTGAAGGTTTATCCGCCATAAAAAAGCGCCCAATCGACGAGTGTTCGATGAACTTAAGACATCGTAAAATCCCTAAGGACGTAAAAAAAATCGAATCTCGGGTCTTTGGTCACACCAGCATACTTCTTTCGTTGGTACAAGCTAAACGATGATTCTTTGATTTATACCAGTTTTTACTAATTCCTTGCATAGTTGAACGGTTATATCGACGCCTCCAAATCATACTATGCAAACTTTCAAAGGTTTCTGAAAACTCGTACAAGGCGACAAGGAAAACGTTTTTTATTAAGCTGAACGCATTATCGATAAAAATATCTGTATAAATCTACAAATCGTGTGCTCCCTGCTTAAGAAACCCCAAAGGAAGAGAGAGATTATGAGATTATACTGCATTTCGTCGTTTAAAGTACAAAACCGCGTATCATCATTCTGCAAAACCGCGTAACTGACATTTGCTGCCAAAAATTGGATTCGCTCGCACAAGCTCTTGGCTCAATCCTTATCCATTCGTCCTGAAATATACTAGCCAGAAATGGGATTGCTTTATAAAAAGAGAGAACCATTTTGAAATATGAGTGTTTTTACGCTCTAGGAAATAATTTCTACAACTTCACATACGCGGTTTTGCATTTTGTTGATACGCGGTTTTGCACTTTAAACGACGATTTGTTTTTGTAGAATAAAAGTTTAGCCTTTTTCCGGCTATATTTAGCGGGTTGTGATAGCAAACAGCCGGAGAAAATTCGGTTTAGCCGGCAGCCGATTAGTTAGCCGTTTTGCCAAAAATAGTTAGCCGTTTTTAGCCGATTTTGCTTATTTTTTTAAATTCAAATATAAAAATTTCCATTTTTACAAACTTAGTGACTCAAATCTATTAGAAATGGCTAGCCTTATATCGGATAAAATTATCATGTCGAACTGTGTTATATAAAATTGAAACACAATTTTTTCTAATCCGAAAGGTCTTAAAAGACCAGGTCGTTTTCAATGATTTTTATTTTAGGCAAAAATATACTGTGACCCAAACATAAACATGGACGCGACAGTTTAGCAAGTTTTGGCTATTTTTCTTTAGTTCATTTAATGTTTATTATTTTTTTCTAAGAAGGTACAGCTTGACTACTTCATAAACACCATTTAAATCCAAGTTTCATACTTTGGGCAAAAATTGGGAAAATTATACAAATTTTAACCAACACTTATTATTTAATCAGCATCTCTAAAAACTTAAAATTTTAGTGCAATAAAGTGCAAATTTTAAAGTACCTAGGACTTACCATTGATTTTTGGCAATACTGTGTATGACAAAAATGCGTAACACCGTCATAAGCCAACGGTAGGTCCTAACTAGTCCAAATTTGCACTATACCAAATTTTGCGAAATTTTCATAATTTTTGCACAAAGGCTGAAATTAGAACTCATATGGTGTTTTTTAAGTAATCAGCTATATTTCCATAAAAAAATAAAATGCATTAAATAAATTTAAGAAAAATAGCCGAAAATTGCAAAAGTTCGCGTCACACTTTTTATATTTGGGTCACTGTATTTTTTCCAAAGTACGTCCCGCTTTTTTTCATAAAAATTTTTGTTATGAATTTTTTTAATTTCAGTGTTCAGTTTTATTAGCAATTCAATTTTTTGGCCAATTTTTGTCTTATATTTTGTTAATTTTGATGAGTTTCCTTCGTCTAATTGGTGATTAGTGCAAGTAAAACAAATCTGCTTTGCCTTGAGTGTCACCGAAGAATTCAACAAAAGTTACTTATGTATGTATGTATGTATATATTTTATGCGCCTATCTTTTGCATATAATTTATGTTTGTTTGTAGATGAAGTTATGTTTCAGCCAACAAAAAATCTCTTTTATTACCCAAAAAATTTTTTATACATACTTTTACGAGGCAAGTCAGTGACACCTCTAGCGAAATAAACTGCAATTAAAAAAATTTAATTTAATTTTGAGTTTTTATTTCAAGTCAAATACTTATCTACTCAAAAATTTTGTGGGAACTTGTTTGAAATGCCGTTATGTTGCCGAGCCATAGAAACTGACTGGAATTTTTCTTATCAATAAATTTTTATTATCATATGTCCAGCCATAACTAGCATCTCTTGATCAAATTTGCTTTCGACTTAGCTACTTAAGTTTTAAGATTTTGAGTACCTATGTAGTATGTATGTATGTATGTACGTATGTAAATAGATTCTTAAGCCGGCAAGTACTTATAGATAGTGAAGCAATGCTTTCCTTCGTCTTTAGCACATTTTGATTGAGCATCTAACTGGAGCATGCTTCTCACTTCTCACAGGAAAGCATTGCTTCACATTTTGATTGAGCATCTAACTGGAGCATGCTTCTCACTTAGATGCCGACGAGTCCGATATGCAGTGTTGCCAACTTTTGAGTTTCAAAAGAAAATACAAAGTACTGCACATTAAAACTGGTATACATATCTAGAGGAAGAAAAAATCGAATCCCAACAAACTAAAATGAATTTTAAATGGGGAAGAGTGATACTAAATGATGCCCTAAGTAGAAAAAAATTGGATGTTTTCATAATATACTTTGAGGTTAGGATATCTCATGTGCTTGAGGAATTCTGCGGCCATATTTGGATTCAGCACCAAAAAATCTACAAGATACGATGTGTTTTACTCAGGTGGTAAAAAGTCTAAATTTGTCGATCTGTGTAATCAATCAAAATATGTACAAATAATTAGAAAAAAAAATTGTGCCAAAATTTCCGTGTTAGTTTTGCATTTGCTTTTGCTTTTTCTTTTTGTTTTTGAACACGGACGGACGGACGAAGACGGATACATGATTAGGAAGACGAATACGAACAATAATGAGAGTAGGAAGGTGAATACGAAGAATATAGGAAGACCAAAACGAATACCAAGAAGAAGACAAATACAAAGACGAATAAGGAGATGAAAACGAATACAAATAAGAAGGCGAATGTGAACACAAATTCGAAGACGAACACGAATACGAATACGAACATGAATATGCTATCGAAGCAATGCTGAAAACGAATACATAGACCAACCGAAGTTGAATAAGAAGACGAATTCGAATACGACGACGAAGATAAATACGAACACGAAGACAAATACGAAGACGTATATCAAGAGGAAAGCGTAGATGAGTGCGTAGACGAATACGGAGATGAATATGAATATGAAGACGTAGATAAATACGAAGAAGAATACGACGAGGAATACGAAGACTAATGGGAAGGCGAATACGTATGTATACGATCCGAAAATTAATACGACGACAGCGTCTATAATGAATACGAAGCTGAATGCGAAAACTAACACGAAGACGAATATTTACATGAATACAGCGACTAAACGAAGACGAGAAAATCTTCGAGACCCTTAAAAACACTAGAAGAGCAGCACATTAAGGTCGCCCTCTCCTGATCTTATGACCTAGTTGCTTGACATTTTTTAATAAATGTATATATTATTCTTTTCTTTTACAGGAACAACGCCCCATTCCAGAAATTGGAGATCATGGTTTGTACTACATACATTCACTAAGCATTGTCGCCGAACATTCACCAAAATAATCCACTACTTTTCTATCATTCTCTGCCAGATGTGCTTTTAAAAATGGACTCTGTCGGCATTTGCGGTTCCGATGTACACTACCTAGTCCATGGACGTATCGGTGATTTTGTACTCAACAAGCCAATGATTATTGGACACGAGGCTTCTGGCGTAGTTGCAAAGTTGGGCAAAGACGTTAAACATCTAGCTGTTGGTGATCGTGTCGCCTGTGAACCGGGTGTACCTTGCCGCTACTGTGATCACTGTAAGGGCGGTCAATATAATCTCTGCCCTGATATGGTATTTTGTGCCACACCTCCGTATGATGGCAATCTCACACGCTATTACAAGCATGCTGCAGATTTCTGCTATAAACTGCCCGATCATGTTACCATGGAGGAGGGTGCATTACTTGAACCACTCGCAGTTGGTGTACATGCGTGCCGCCGTGCCGGTGTGGGCCTGGGTTCAAAAGTGCTGGTATTAGGAGCGGGTCCTATCGGATTGGTGACACTGCTGACGGCGCAAGCAATGGGCGCAGATCAGATAACGATTACGGATTTGGTGCAGAATCGCTTAGATGTCGCCAAGGAATTAGGTGCCACACATACGCTGCTCATGGATAAGGATGACAGCGTAGAGGAGATAGCCAAACAAATACATCAAATAATGGGTGTAGAGCCAGATAAGACGATCGATTGCTGCGGTGCTGAGTCAACAACACGCTTGAGCATTTTCGTAAGTACGATATACATACATACATACATAACTATGAAATATATACAAAAAAAATTTACAGTTTTTTATTACAACTAAATAAGTACAAAATTTAATAAATTTTAGGCTACACGCTCCGGTGGCTGCGTTGTCATCGTCGGCATGGGTTCACCAGAACCAAAAATTCCGCTGATCAACGCTTTGGCGCGAGAGGTTGATATACGCGGTGTATTCCGTTACTGCAATGAGTGAGTAGTTATCTCTAAACGAAATAAGTGCGAAAAAATTATTTGACTTGTTAAATTTTTAATAGCTATCCTGCTGCTCTGGCGTTAGTCGCTACCGGTAAGGTAAATGTTAAAAGACTGATAACTCATCATTTTGATATCACCGAGACGGCGAAGGCATTCGAGACTGCGCGTTATGGCCATGGTGGCGCCATTAAAGTAATGATACACGTACAACCAAAGGATACCAACAATAAAAAATAGGAGAGCCTGGCTGTTGGACCCTCCTATAGTGTAAATACATAAATGTTTAATGCATGAATGAAAGACAATAATTATTGTAAATAAATAAGCGTTTTTAAAATAAGAGTTAGAAAAAATATAAAAAATTATTTTAAAAAAATCGTGTAAAATTGTTTCTAAGTAGTATTATAATGGTTGGATTTACAGGGTTCATTGAAAGTAAAACCTTGCTCTTGGATTTTTTGCTTGGTGGATATTGCTAGGTGAATTACAAGGCATGTAAAACTGGATTTGCGGTACTCAGTAAGTTGTGGAGTCATCACATTTTGAAAACAAAACGTTTTCAAGATTTTTTCCAGCCATTTTTGGGCCTAAACTATATAAATTATGTCCGCACTTAAGTATTTAGACGTGGTAGTCAAACAACAAAAAGATTTCGCTCCATTTAATTAACATATTTTTTTTTAGCAGAGGGTTAAATTTTTTCTTTTGTTAAAAAATTATATTATGTTTCATGAAACCAGGGACGCATATGATCTTAATAATAAAAATTATAATTTAACCGTTAAAATCAGATTTAAATTTTTCTGATAAAATTTAATTGTTATTTTGTGCAACAAAACCCAAAAAAATGTCGAACTGCACGAATCATTCAATATACTCAGAAAACTATGGGCCAAATTTGCATATATTAATATAACTTTTTCTCACTGAAGTCAGGGTTTTTTAAGGGATTTCGAAATTTCAAAAATATTATTTTTCCAATATTGTAATGACAAAGTATAGAATAACAATATGCATGGTAATGGGAAAAAAATTCTGTCCATTTAAAATCAATTTTCTTTTATTCACAAGGACAAATCGGTATTGAAAATTCCCTTTTTACTAATTTTATTTTTTAGCTAATAAAGTTAGAAGGAAGAATTTTGAGGATGTGTGTGTGTGTGTATGTGGTAGTCCTTAACATATATATATATATATATATTTGTTTATGGAAATATGGCAAATTTTCAGGGATATTCAAGGAAAAAATTTGCAAAGCACATTTTCAATACCTATTCGTCCTTATGAACGAAAAAATTTAAACAGCTTGAAATCTATAGAATTTTGTGTTTTATTTGATGCCCATTGCCATGAATTTTTTAAATAATTTTTGGAATTATTCATATCTTTGAAATTGCAAAGACCTAAAAAATCGTAAAAACGCAATTCTATTATACTTGGCCATAGATTCGTGAATATATTAAGGGTATTCACCAAATTGGGCAAGTGACCTGGCATTCGGGCAATTGTTTGTCCGAGTGCCACTTGCTCAATTTGGTATCTAAATATCCCTATTGATTATATTTGTGTGTAAAATTGACTGCCGCACGGTGTTATAACCATTGGTTTTCGATTTCAGATTTAGATCATAAAAAAACTCTCACATAAAAAAACGTTTGATAGAAAAAAATAAAAATCCAAATCTAACGATTATTCTTAAACGAAAAAAATAACAGGTAATTTTTAAGCAAAAAACAACCGACTTCAATTCTCATATACAAATTTAGGAGTACCGTTAATTTCTTCATGATCCAATGATCGGATCGAAACCAAATTAGTATGGTACCACCTCGGAGACACTACCTTTTAGATGTAAAAAGAATTATCGAAGCCGTTTGACGTAGAACAAAGTTATGCGGTAACATACATAAAAAAATAATAAAAAATATTCTGACGAATTGATAACCTTCTTCTTTTTTTTTAAGTCGATTTAAAACAAGTAGTTTTTAAGAAAAAACCAAAACCGACTTCAATTCTCATATAAAAATTTAAGATTATCGTCAATTTCTTCATGATTCGATGATCGGATTTAAACCATTTGTAGAACATTTTCAAATTTTACCATTTTAAACTATTCTTTCAAAAATGGGTAAAAAATTGTGTGACTAAATTTTACTATAGACAATAATTATGTTTGAAGTCGTATTATTCGACTAGTTATATTATAAACCGTTTTCCTGACTGGGAACTAAAAGTGCTCACTGAATGAAAAGCTTTCTCAGCTATCTATTCTGCCCCATCTAATCTTATGTATTTAACAAAACACTTATTTAAAATATATATAAATACACACATCTTGATATGATAACGAGTCATTGCATAAGTGTTTTTGCAATTTCAATTAATCAAAGAAGAGTGATAAAAATGGCGCTATCAATTTGTCCGCTTTGCGACCTTGACCTTATCTTATTTATTTGTAAGACACACACATATGGATTTACATAGATACGTACATAAGAATCAATTTAAAATGCTTGTACATTAGGGCGGGTCGAAAAACACAACAGGTTTAATATGAGAATTGTAGAGGTCTTAAAAGTTGGTATTTTAACCCCTAATCCTTAATTTTAATTAATTAATCTATGTTTCCTACTTAATTTATTAATTCATTAAAATATAAATTTAAAATGTAAATTGATGTTACTTACGTTTAATTTGCCCAAATGCTCAGTTTGAATTACATTCATTCAAACAAATTTTATATCAAAATGAAAACAATCTTTCGAAAATAATTTAAAAGCGCTACCATTGGAAAAGAGGAAAAATCTCTGCTTGAAAATATCATATTACTTTTTTCGTCTGTCGATTTTAGATCCGTTTCGGAACTGTAGAAAAGGGGATGCAGAGCGGACTAGATCCCATCTGTCGCATTTAGAACTGGTTCGAAACTATCGAAAACGGAATGCAGCGGGCGGCAATCGACACTTCGTAGGGCATCGCAATGTTAGATAAATTCGCCAGTTGTTAGCCGTATACCGTATACTACGGCAGGTACCCACAATAAACCCTCTCTCCAGCCGCTTTGCACTAATTCAGCGATAGTTCTGAAATGTATAGCGCGGAACTAGCGCTTTAACAGACTGTCTGTAAATTTTACTGCAGGGTTCCTGCTACTATATGTATCTATATGTGTATTTAATTGAACGAAAAATACTGATATAAGCTACGAGTATTTGAGGAATTCGCACCAAAATTTTTATTTCTATTTTTTTTTTCTGATTTTAACGTGTGATACGTTGTTGAAATGATTCCTTTGGGGACTTTACCTTGAGATAATTAAGTTCACTGGTCCAAGAAGTGCTTTAAATCAACATGCTTTTATAGATATCGCTCGCTTACTGATCATAAACAGATTGGACAAAATTTGCGAGTAACTCGGTTTGCAATGCTTAGACAGATTTCCCCCCTAATTGGTCTTACAATTGGTCTTAAAACATCGATTGTATCGTCGATATTTTTCCACCTCTACCCGAAACTAAACGTCAAATACCAAAAAATTATAGCAGCGAAACAATGACGTTAAATTAATAGTTCACTGAATGTTTTTTCACTTATCAGTCAGAGACAGTTAAATTTACTAATTAGTTTTATTTGTTGAAATTTTAATGTTTATCATTCAGTTTCTTCTGGCAGTTTGACTATAGTTTGTTTAATTTGTTTTTAGTTATTTCAATAAAAAAATAGAATTTTTTAATAAGGAACTTTTTATTTATTTTTTTGTTGTTTTTATTTAACTAATGATACCGTGCTTGATGAATAAATTATTCTGATTCAAAATAAATTTATGTTAAGGGCCATTCCATGTAAACGAGGAAAACGACATACATTTCACAATGCCCTAATTATCTCTATTCCAGTAGTAACCTTTTTTTAAACAACTTCATTTTGTTAATCAGTACACGGATATTAAAAAAAATAATAAGCATTTTTTAAACAAAAAAACAAAACAAACTTCAAATCGCATATACAAATTTAGGAGTACCGTTAATTTGTTCTTGATCCAATGATCGGATCTAAACGAAATTAGTATGGGACCACCTCTGAGAAACTACCTTTCCGATGCAAAAAGTATTTCCAAACTTATGTGGTAACATGCATTAAAAAAAAATAAAAAATAAAAATATTCCTACGAATTGATAACCCCCTCCTTTTGTTAAAGTTGGTTAAAAAGAAGTTGTAATTTGGTCTACGGAAACTTTTACTTCATGCATAATTACTTTACACCAGTCACAAATTTAAACATATTTTTTTTTTTTTAATATTTCTATTAATATTATATAGGCCTAATTTTTGTTGAAGAACAAAGCGTATAGTTCATATTTTACAACACAAAAACATCTTTCGTAAAAATTAAGTGTTTTAACTAAAATTCGTCTTTGAGTTCACAGAGGTAAATTATTTTCAGTGCCCCACCAGTCACATTCGTTCAAATGATAATTACACGAAACTAAGAAATCGTTAGGTATTTATGTAAAAGCAATTTTATACATTAGTTAACGTTCTATGTTCAAAAATATCTTTCGCTGTTGTATAAGTTCCGGCGACATAGTTATAATTCGCAATTGATCACATTCTGGAGTAAAATGTCCTACCAGTCACAATGGAATGGCTCTTAATTATAATCTTGTATCTAAAATCTGAGTTGTAATTTCCATATTTCAATAGCCAACATTGGGCACTTAAGTACCTAGAGTTTAAATATTTCATCTGAAAATTAATATTTTTTTAATCAACAACCGGCACTTAAATGACCCTGAAAGCGAACATTATAAAACTTAAGGCAACAACGAAATTTCATCGTTTGAAAAAACTTAGTTAACAGTGACTGAAACAATCGTTCACATGTTGATTTTTTCTTAATTTTCACAATATTTTTCAAGCCTAAATTTTGTGCTACTTTTTATAAAATGTGTTTTTCATGCTTTAACCAAAATCATATAAATGAAAATTTTAAAGTTTATACAAAATTTAGAAAAATTAATAAAATTTTCGTAAAAATTTCGACGTTTTTATTATGAATTTCAAGAAAATTTTTGGGTATGCAGTTTGGTAGCTCATGAAGATTTAATATAACAAAATGCAGCTAAAATTTCCCGTTAAGTTTTTCCATAATTTTTTTTGCTGCTGATCGGAAGTACTGTAATAGAGCCAGTTGCAACATCCTTTGTGATCACGTAGCTGAAAATTCACTACATCCGGTCTCTGGAATAAGAAATCTTAGTGCTAGACAAACTATTTCCGCAAAAAGTTCAAGTAATATAATTACTTTCAAATAATTTTGA